TGAGCGGCGGGGCCGCAGGTGGCGGCGAGGCTGCAGGTGGCGGCGGGGCCGTAGGTGGCGACGGGGTCGCAGGTGGCGGCGGGGCCGCAGGTGGCGACGGGGCCGTAGATGGCGGCGGGGCCGCAGGTTTCGGCGGGGCCGCAGGTGGCGACGGGGCCGCAGGTGGCGACGGGGCCGCAGGTGGCGACGGGGCCGTAGGTGGCGGCGGGGCCGCAGGTGTCGGCGGGGCGGCAGGTGGCGACGGGGCCGCAGGTGGCGACGGGGACGCAGGTGACGACGGGGCCGCAGGTGGCGACGGGGCCGCAAAGGGGCCGTAGCGGGGCCGTAAAGGGGCGAGGCGGGGCCGTAGCGGGGCCGTAAAGGGGGGGGGGGGGGGGGCAGCCGGGTCTACGGAGGGGCCTAGGCGGGGCCGCGGAGAGGCCGCAAGGGGCCAAACGGGGACGCGAAGGGGCCTAGGCGGGGCCGCAAAGGGGCCGTAAGGGGCCAGACAGGGCCGTAAAGGGGGCCAGACGGGGCCGCAGAGGGGCCTAGGCGGGGCCGCAAAGGGGGCCGTAAGGGGCCAGACGGGGCCGCGGAGGGGCCGTAAGGGGCTTAGGCGAGGCCGTAGGGGGCCGTAAGGGGCCAGATGGGGCCTAGGCGGGGCCGCGGAGGAGCCGTAAGGGGCCTAGGCGAGGCCGCGAAGGGGCCGTAAGGGGCCTAGGCGAGGCCGTAAGGGGCACGACGCGGCCGCGGAGGGACCTAGGCGGGGCCGCGACGGGGCCGTAAGGGGCCTAGGCGAGGTCGCGACGGGGCCGTAAGGGGCCTAAGCGGGGCCGCAAGGGGCAAGACGGGGTTCCTAAGGGGCCGTAAGAGCGGCGCGAGGGGCCGTAGAAGGCGGCGCAAAGGGGCCGTAAGGGCGGCTCGAGGCGCTACTCGGGTTAGGAGCGAAGCGCGCTCCGGGCAGGGAAGGAAAAAAAAAAGTTCGTGGTGGGCCCTAGGCAGTATTCCCACTCGGGAACCTGCTCGATACCATGACGAGAAGTGAGAATGGATGAATGAACTATGAAACAGTTGGGTACAAGAACTAGCCCTAATTGGGTTGTACCCCTTATGGGCTACCCCACTACAGCCTACACAAATTTTTAAGCTATAATGTTCTGACAGCCTGGGACTGAGGTTGGGAAAAGTGTCGAAGCGGAGGCTCGGAGCGCGGGTTACCCGTCGAGCCGTGAGGTCAGGGTGCGACGTGCGAAGGTGGCGGGAGGATTGTCGATGTGAGGGTTGCGAATTGTAACGGTGCTGACTGTGGTGCTACAGTGGTGTACGCGCTGAGCGGGGACGCGAAGTAAGGAAAAGGAAATTTCCTTACACTAGCGGCGTGCCGTCTACCAGTCTTGTGTCGATCTCAGGTAAGCATCTGTCCAGTGGCAGTCGCAGTTTTCGTGCTGTGGCAGTGTTCATGAGGCTGTGGCTGGCTCCCACGTCTACGAAGATTTTTACTAAGTCCGTCCCGATTTTCCCACTAAGCAGTATGGGGCTGTCTACCGTGGTACCCTCTTTATTCGACCGGGTGTGGTCGATTGCGTGAACCGGCACAATCACTCGGTGAGGGTCGGTTGGGTCGGGCGAGCGGCGTGACCTGTCTGTAGAGGGCCCGTTGTCAGAATCCCAACCACTAGACCATTGGGATAAAAGGGCTTGTTAAGTAGCGGGTCAGTGCGCCCATAACCTCCCAGGCCAACATGCCTGTAACCCTTCCCTAGGATCAATCGGGGATCACCAGTGGACCTCTGACACCCGTCTGCTACTGACTCCCAGCGTTTCCCTGCTGCTTGGTCTGTTTCTGCTGCTCAGCTTCCCCCTTTCCCTAAGCTTTTTCCAGGCATTCGCTCTTGCGATGTCCCGGCCGATTGCACGCAAAGCAGCGCCCTTTGAACGGTGCGGCAGCGGCATTTGCAGCGACGGCACGTATCGTGGCGCCTTCGTTCGCCCCACGAGGCCGATGTCCCCAATGGCTGCTTCCGTAGGATCCCGGTCTCGGTCGGCGGAAGAAATCAAGTTTCTCTACCATAGCGAGGATTTCTTGAAAGTCGGTGACGCTGCGAAGCTGGATTTCCTTAGCGATGTCTTGCTTTAGGCCGCTGATGTAGCGGTCGATGCGCTCGCTCTCGTGCATATATCCCACCTGCTCACATAGCGCCAGAAATCCGCTCGTGTAGTCTTGGACGGAACTGAGTTGGCGCCAAGTGCGGAGCTTCTGTCGCGCCGCGATCGAAGCCGCGATTGGCTCGAAACGAGCGCGCAAACATGCGCACCACGCGTCCCACGTGCGATACTAGGGCACCTCCACGAAATACGACGGCGCCCAGGGTCCGGTTTGTCCTTCCCTTGTCGGTAGAGTTGCGTAGTCCGCCGGCTTTGTGACGATGACGCGCCACCAGTCCATGGTGGGTCTTCGCAGCAACGACACGTCGTAACGAATCTTTGCTGTATCCTCCGAGACGTAGTTCGCGTCGAAGAAAACGTTCAACGTGAAGAGCCACGCCTGAACGGTAGGACCACCCCGCTAATTTGGGTCAAAGCATGGCGGACGCTGCGGCTTTAGCGGCATCGGCGACGGAAGAGTTGATCCGCCGGCCGGCACTGAAATCGTGACTTGAGGCTGAGTCCTGGGCGCATTCGTCGCGTCGGGGTGTGTCGTGCCGTGGTCGTCGTCTCCGTCATGGCGGACGACGCCATCACTTGCGGCGCTCGCGGGTTGCCCCACACTTCCTTGCTGTGATGTTTGTGGTGCGGGCTGAATCGGAGTGCCAGGTGCTTGGGATTGTGCTCGTGTGAGGTCGTTTTGCAGGGACGAGCGTTCTGCCATCAGCGTCGCGATTTCCTCGGCGCTCTTGCGGATTTGTCGCAGCAGATCGTTCAAATGCTCCTGCATGAGAGTCGTGACGTCGATATGTTCAGCCATTTCGAAGGGCGTCGGCTCGTCTTAGTCTAGGCGCAATCGTGGCTGCACGCGTTTATGAGAGAACGCGAGGACAGCGGCTCCTTGGTGCTAAGGTACGTGAGTCCCTTCGAGTGAAAAATCAAAAGTTGATTTCCTGGGGTGCGGAGATGCGCGGTCCGAAAGAAAGGGGCTCTGAATACCAAGTGTTACGGGTGCAATGAATCGAAGTAGCGAGGATTGCACTAAGGTGTCAAACGAGTACAAAGATGTGAGCGAAGGCATGAGCGAACATTTATACGCGAAACATGCAAACGATAACGCGGTGCGTGCGAGCTAGCTAGTACTATGGTGGCAGCGAGGCTCGGGCTAGTCCCGAAGCGTAGGCCGACACGGCCGGACCAGCAGTGCGAGGTTTGGCAAAACAGTGCGCGCGAAGTTGGCGAAGTCCTGTTAGCAGTAACGGGCGAACAACGGCTGTTGCTGTACGCGATGTAGTCGGGCTCCGTAAGGAATGCCGAGAAAATTCCTTACACTAGCATTGATGGGATGGGCTTGTACAAGAATAAACAAGTGTTTTGTGTTTTTGTTGCTATTTCGTCTATTGATACGTGTTATGACATCCTATACGCTAAGCTTGCGCATTTTGCGGCGAAGCATGCGCGGAGCCTCAGCTCAATGTATTTTGAAATGTCCAACGTGATTTTTCAAAATGCCCGCTGGCGGGGACAATTCTCGTCCCCAAACTCGAGAATTGCTCGCGACTTTTGAAGTGCCGTCGTTAGGCTCGCGTTTTCGATTACGGTGTGAACAGATAGGGCGAGCGACAATTATGAGGTGGCACGTCAACAAACCAGGAGCGTCGTTCAGGCCGAAACGGGAAGGTGGCTACCAGACCAGGCCACTTTCGCAAAGACGCATGGCTGTGGGCGGGGCGCGGGCCGCCCACACGATTTCCTTGCACTCGTACAAGACCATGCAAAAACGGTTCCAGACCGCACTAACTGCCCGACAACTTGGCCTCAATGCGACTTCTGACAGCGACACAATGTCCTTCGCTCTGCGTCGCAAACGGCAAAGAGGAGAATCAGGCGACATTTTTATGAATTCACCTTTGCGAAACGGATGACGCCTGGGGCAATCCTGTGTGTCCATCTGTCACTAAACTTGTCACGGGCCGACGTGCACGTCGCACAGCGTCGTAAGCTCACACCTCAGGCTCAAATTCAAACGTGAGAGGGATGGCTCAAGCAGCAGGGCACGCCCAAGCTGCATGCGACGCATGCCATCGCAGGATCCCCAGCTTTCCGAGACGCGCTCGAGAACCAGCATTTCCATGTTGCGAATGGCGTCTCGGCTAGCGAGTGGAATGTGAGAGGGGACCCGAAGCGCGGGCGGTACGGCTTATTGAATGTGGAGCGCGAGAGGGGCGATTTCTTTGCGAACTTCTCTCTCTCTTGTCACATCCTATCCAACTCCAAGCCACCCCAAACCCAGCTTTCCCAACCCGCGCACCACAAATCTCGTTCCTCAAAAGATCCGTCTTGGCTCCTGCTTCTATTACCCACTCACCTCCACGACCTCGGCAAGTTGTGCGCACACACATTTCACAAAAGAGCAGCAGCCGTCAGCCTCCGCCGTCGTGTTTTCTTGAACCCGTAGCTTACCACCCACCACTTCAGCCTGGTATATTTATTCACTCTGGGTGATTGTCGGTTCTGTTCAGTGATACTCCAGTCTCACGGAACGCAGTCATCCGATTATCTAGTACTCTCTCGCACCGTAGCCCGTAGCTAGCCTGGTCGATCGCATAACTCCATCGCACTTCACACGACGGATCTTGAATCCTCTCCCTTCACTGCTTCGATCTATTTTATCCGTCGACGAAAATTGCGCAGTTTCCGGTATGGCAGCGATCACCGCGCCCCAGGTCACCGCCCTCAACTCCGCCCCACACCTCGTTCGCCTATCCCCGCGTAACGCGCCGCGAATGATGGTCGAAAGCCAAGCAGGCGCCCGTTCGGACGAAAGCGCGGCAGGAAACCACACACTAGCAGCGTGCACCAATACTCAGATGCAGATGGTGCTTCCTCGCAGTGTCGAGGCTGTTCTTGCAGTCTTCAGCCCCAGCAGCAGCAGCCGGCAGCCGTCAGTTTCCCCGCCGGCGCAGTCAGCGTGTCGGTCAAACAGCCCCGATGCGATTCCGATGCCGGTGACGGGGGAGAAGCGGCCGGCGGTAGACGATCCGACCGCAAATGACGCGGCCGCCATGCGCCCGCGGAAACTCTTCGCCGCATCGATTCCGCCCCTCACCATCCCCGCCACGCCATCCGCTTCCGCTTCCCTAGCTGCGCTCAGCACCGCACCTCTCCGCCTACCTTCCCTTGCGGCCCCGCCTCCTCCTCCGCAACCCCAAGCTGCGTCCCACCCGCCCACCCCTGCCACCATCACTCTCTCGATCTCCTACCCCGCCACTCCTCTCCCCGTGCTCCCGCCGCTTACGCGTTATGATCCGGTTGCGTTTGCACGCGGGATGCAGGCGCTACAGGGCACGCCCCTCGGCCGGCTACTCAACGCCACACCCGATATTGTCGTGGACGGCGTTCCTCGTCGCATAGTGTCCAGTAAGCCGCCCAGCAGTCCCGCGACGCAGGGTGCAATGGGGCAGTCCGCATCCCCCGTACCTCTCATGCAGCTGCCGTCGCGTTTCGCCGGCAATATAGGCGCCAGCAGCGGTCCCCGCGCGAGCGGGCCAGTCAAGCCACGTCCCCTCGTGCCGTCGCCTGCCGCTATCGCCTCCGCCATCGCCGCAAACGCTGCTGCGCCATGCAGTGCCCGCAAAGCCGAGCTCTTCACCCTGCCTTCCGCTTCCCCAGCTGCTCCCGCGCCCGCGTCCGCTTGCTTCCCCCCTTCTGCCGCTCCCCCCACCCTCTTGACCTGCCCAATCGTCCTTCCTCGCATCAGTACTAACGGCGCACCGGCGCCGATCCGCGACACTGATGCCGGCGCACGAGCGGCCTGCGCGGCATTCGATCCCCTAGTGGAGTGCGAGGAGAGTCTCGATAGCTTATCAGATCCGTCGAATCTGACCTCCCCCACCGCCACTAGCGCGTGCAGCAGGGGCGGCTGCGACGCCGAGGAGAGCGGCGCGAAGGACGCGATGTCGTCCGTTGCCCTGCCACGTGGCAGCAGCAGCGGCAGCGGGGGGCGGTGGGGCCGCAACCGGTCCGTCACGAGCAAGCAAACGGCGGCCGGCAGGAGACGGCAGGTTAACTGCAAATCATCCGGCGCCGTCAAGGTTGACGGAGGCGCGAGCGCGGGCGCGGTTGGGACGGACGGAACGGGGGCGTGCGTGGTAACGACATCAGGGCAACGCCCGCTTCACACGCTGCACCCGGCGCCTGCTCCCCCCGCGACTGCTGTCGCTCGCCTCCTCCTTCACTCCGCCTCCGCCCGCTCCACCAGCGCCAATCCCGCCGCCGCCGCCGCCGCCGCGGCAGCCATTGCTGCGGCTGCGGGTTTCGCGTTTGCTCCGCAGGAGCGCGGCGCTGCAGGTGCAGATGGGGGAGTAGAAGCAGCGGCGCAGATGGCCGTTGCGCAACAGGGGCAATGGCGCGGAAACGGCGGAAACAACAGCGCGACGCAGCTCATGGTTCTCCCGCGAATGGGCGTTTCGCCGCAACAACCGCTTCTCTCCCTCTCCCTGCCGCCGCCGACCGCGCGGAATCAGGGCTTCATGTGGCAGGCTCCACGACCGATGTATGCGGAGGCGGCTCTTGCGGCGCCAGCCGCGGCGTGGAACGCGGTTGGAGAAGCGGCAATCGCCTCCAATAGCATGGAAGCGCTCCCAGACACGCAGCTGACTCTCGGGCGCTCCCCGCTCCCTCCCGTGCCGGCCGCTGGCGCTGCTGCGCACGTGCTGGTTGGCTCCGGTGACTTCTCCGAACCTCCTCGTGCCCAGCCTCACGCGCTGGTCGGGCCGAGCCTCGCGCCGGAGCAGTCAGCCTCGGTGTCGTCGTCCGCGTCGACGACGGTGGTGACTCGCACAGAGTCGCAAGGATGGAGCGACGAGACGGGCGACGATGACGAGGAGGAGTGGAGGGAGGGCGACGGGGAGGAGGCGGAGAGCGAGCAGTGCGGGGGAGACGACGGGCGCGGGAATGGGGAGGTGATGGGGGGGCATGCGGAGGCGGAAGGGGAACCCGATGGCGCTCACGCGCTCGTGTCCGCCGCAACCCCCGCGTCTGTTACCGCTCACCCTGCTTTGCTCGCCGCCAACACCTCCGGCGTCATCGCGCCTCGAGCGTCGCGACTCGTCGGATCGCACATCACGATCAACGGCCTGCGTGCCTCGACCGAAACCAGCCAATCACCATCCGTCGGCGGAGCAATCCGATTGGTCGGGTCTGCGGCAGCAGCGACGGCATCAGCGGAGCAGCTGAGAGAGAGCATGGAGCAATCAGCCGTGCCCGCGGTGTTTGCAAGCCTATCATCACGCAGTGAGCACTCCAGCATGAAGGCGCTGTGGGCGAACGGTGCATTTCACCGCCTCGTGGGGCTCCCCTGCTGCTCCTGGCTGCTCTCCCTCGGTGCCGCCTCGCTCCCCACTGTCACTCTTGATGGGAGCACGGTGGGCTTGGGGGTGGAGGGAGTGATGGGGGGTTGCCCTGCTGTGGTTGAAGGGGGGGTGCGGGTGCGGTGGCAGGGGCGGGAAGGGGGGCGAAGTGGGGAGAATGGGGAGGGGGAGGCCATGGGTGTGGCTGTGGGGAGGAGGGTGGAGGATTGTGAAGGGGTGGTTATTGGGTACCTTTGGCAGTTGAAGCTGGGAGGGGAGGGTGTATATGAGGCGATGAGAGTTGGTGCGAATGTGACTGCAGCATGTGTGGGTGAAGGAGGGAAGGGAGAGGAGGGGAAGGGGAGGGAGGAGGGCGCTGAGGACGAGGATGCAATGGCAGCAGAGTCGCTGCTGCTCTTCACTGGAGGCATCGTGGCGTGAGTGTGGGTGAGCAGGAGAACCAACCATGGCATTCAGGCGTACTATGATAAGATGGGAGGAAGGGGCTGGCTGGCTGGCTAGCGTGTAGCCGTTGTGATTCGATGCGAGCTGCTGAGCTTGACTCCGGAGCCTGGATCATCAGCAAAATGCGTTTGGCTTATATTTAGGTAATAAGCTGGCCTGCTCTCTAGCCATAAGGCATAGTAGGGTAAGGCTGGTTGAAATAAATTATATATACCAGACAATCTTTGAATTATTTTTTGTAAATGTGATTTGCAAACTCAAATAATGAGGTAAAAAGGTCGGCAATGTCACGTGATAAGTTGAGCCGTGACAGGCAAATGCGTCACATTCCTCTGACCAGACCTCACCACAGGAAGTACACTACATTCCTCAGAAAGCTATACAAATGTACAATCTACATTCAACTAAGGCAGATCTGATCCGCCTCCCACTGCTTGCTAGTAACCTTACCTACCACCCTCGGGATCGCCCCAACTCTGCACGAAGGCCAGACATGGCGGAAACGTAGCAGTGAAGTCAGCAAATGAGGCTATGAGCTCAATGTCAAGCTATGCACGAGACGGACGCGATGCACGGGGGGAAAAACGCACCTCCTGCGACGAGGTAGATCAACACAAGCACGGACGCGACGACCACCAGAATGGCAGGCTGCTGCTCAAGGGCCGCCTCGAGGCTCGACAGCTCATACGGCGACGGTGCTTCCGCGAACGACGGGGCTGCAGATGATGACATGAGCGAGACTGAAGCGTCACCTGAAGGAGCAGTGAAGGATGTTCCGTCAGCAGCAACAGAGACGTCAACGGGGACGTTAACGTTGTCGGCAGAGGTAGCAAGGGTCGCAGTGATTGACGGAGCTGCCTGACTGCTGGTGGATAAGCTGACTGCTTTATCTAACAAACCGACAGGCTCTGCGACCGCTGGAGACGGGGTAGGTAATGCTGACGTGTCAATCCCATCATCTGGCGTGGGGGAAGCTGCGACAGTAACAGCACGACGAGGGACGCATGTAGTTGCTGACCGTCTGATTGGATGAACTTGAATGCGTTGAGCGAACCTGCGAGAGCTGGAGGATTCTATGAAACCATAATGTCGAATGGCAGCAGACGGAGAACAAGATACTACAGCCATTGCTGCGACGAAGGCTTTCACAGTATCGTCCTGCTAATTGCGACGTTGGAGCTGCGAGGAGGATTCGTATCCACCTAATTAATCTAGAAGGCCGCCGGACAGCAATGTATCTCAAATCTAAGAGTCCCCATTTTGGTAAAGCGCTCGTAGATTCTTTTCAATCACCATGACTAATCTTTTCAAAGACCAATCGATGATGGTTATATACATACCCATTCGTTATTATGTACATGCTTACTAGCCCAGAACAGGTATATTCCTGTCTGTACAAACCACCCCCTACCACCATTTTCCAGCCCCCCTTTTGTTTTCCTTTCATAGCAACCGCATCAATGCTCCTTCAACTGTGACCCCAGGGCCAAACCCTAAAGCCACTCCCCACTGAGGCTCGGCACACTTCTTCTTCCTCCGAATCTCATCCAGCACAAACAGCACAGATCCGCTTGACATGTTGCCGTACTGCCGAAGCACCTCCCTGCACATAACATGAAAAAAAAGGGGGTGGAGGGGGGGGAAGAACAATCGCTTTCTCTCACAAAAAAGACAGCAATCAGGCGAACCAGTACATGCACAGATCACCCACCTGCTCGCCCTCAGCGCATGCTTCTTCAACCCCAGCTGCCGCTGAATTGCATCCAAAATCGCCCGCCCGCCTGGATGAACCGCCCAGAAGCTCTCAGCAAATCCCACGCCAGCCAGTCCCAGCAGGGCAGCACTGAAATCTTTCACCGGCCCGGGCAGCAGCAGCGGCACCTCCCTCCGCAGGTGCACCAGGAGCCCCGCCTCAGTCAGATCCCCCGCAATGTGCCGCATTGTCTCGGGCAGAAAAAACTCCGCCACACGAACAATCTCAAAGCTGGGCTTCTCGGGGGAAATCCCGGCGGGTGGGCTGGGGGAGAGCGGTGGGGAGGAGGCCCCTCCTCCTTGCTGTTGCTGCTGCTGCTGTGCAGAGGTGGCAGCTTCTTGCAGGGCTGGTGCGGCAGGTGCGGTGTTTACGGCGGGTGCGGCAGGTGCGGCGTGGGAGGTGTGGGTGCGGGGGTTGGCCCCCACGACCATGGCAGCTGCCCCGTCGCCAAAGATGGCTGCACACACGAGACTGTCCGGGAGCGACTCGTGCGGTGCCTGGTGGAGAGGAGGGCAGGGAGGGAGAAGGGAGGGAGAAGGGAGGGAGGGGAGGCAGGGGAGGTGGGGGAGGGGAGGAGACGGGGGGAGGGAGAGGAGGCAGGGGAGGTGGGGGAGGGGAGGGGAGGGGATGGGAGGGAGGCGAGGAGTGTGAGAAACAGGGCAAGGGAGATGATAACCCACCTGGAAAATGAGACTGTTAAGCTCGAAGCACACAAGCAGCACCGCCCCTTCAACCTCATTGTTCTCAGCGCAGGGAAGTCACCCCCGCGTACATCAAGCATCTGACTCTTGAGGCGCCTCATAAGTCACGATACCATACCTGGAAGATGAGACTGTTGAGCTCAGAGCACACAAGCAGCACCCTCGCCCCTTCATCAGCATTGTTCTCCGCGAGATCCTTGGCGATGCGCAGCGCAGTGACCCCCGCGTAGCACCCGAGCATCTGCAGCAGCACGCGCTGGGTGGAGCGGCGCAGCCCCAGGGCTTCCACCAGCTGCACGTCCAGCCCCGGCAGGTGCACCCCGCTCACCGTCACCACCACCAGGTGCGTTATCCCCCCCGCCCCAGCCCCTTCCCCGCCCACCCCTCCCACACCGCCCACCGACGCAGCTTCCCAACCACCCGCTCCCCCCACGCCTGCTCTGTTTCCACCCCACTCGGCGAGGGCGCGTTCGCAGGCGGCAGCGGCGAGCTTGACGCCCTCGGTACGGAGGATGTCCTGGCGCATGGCGAGGGAGGGCGCGCCGAACTCCTGCAGGCACGGGTTGGCAGCGATGGTGTCCCATGGCAGCACCATGTGGCGCTTGTCTATGCCCGTGTGGTAGCCTGGTGGGGGGAAGGAGAGGGGGGAGGGAGAAGAGGAAAGGAAAGAGGCAAGAGGCAGATAGTAGACAGAGAACGAGGGAGGGAGGGATGTATACAACAGCGGAGCTTGCCTATGCCCGTGTGGTAGGTGAGGGTAGGAGGAGAGGGGGATGCGGAGAGCAGAGGGCACAGGGCACAAAGCAGAGAGGAGGGTTTGATATGCGAAATGCAACTCCTGAAGCCATCCACCCCTCCATTTCACTCACAGATGCGTTCGAACTTGGCCTGGGTCTCAGCGTGGTGGCAGCCCACGCGTGAGAGGTACTCCTTGGCGAACTGCCCCTGCGGCCGAATCGTGTCCGGGTTCGCTGTACCGATGCCCAGCACACACGCCACTGGCTTGCCGGGCTTTAACGGGTTCATTCTCGACACGGCGGAATCGCAGAGGGAACCGGGTGCTACAGTCGCAAGCTGCACCTTAGCCTCGTTAAAAGCGCATTCAGTAGTAGCACTGGAGGGATTGGTGCATGTGTGTGGATGAACTAAACCGTTCTTCACTGTTGTAGCACCGTTCTCCACCACTGAGTGCCCGTTCTCCACCCCTGCAGCGCCGTTCACAGGCCACTTGGCCCATCCCCCCTCCTCCGCGCCACTCCTCGTACCACCTTCCTCCTTCCCCTTGTCGCTCACCCCCATCCTCTCTATCCCCGCCACCACATCCCCCTTGGAGCTACTGCTGCAGCACGGCTTGAGAACCGACGCCGCGGAAACGCTGCTGCCACCCCCAGGAGCCCCATCGCACGGCAGACCCACCGCAGCAGGAGTGAGCGGCCCCAGGCCCAGCCCCTCCTCGCTGCCTGGCCATGCCTGGGAGCACCCGTCGGACCCCATGGGCGACTTGGCCACGCGTGGCGCGGCCTAGGGAAAGGAAGTAGAGCGGTGGAGGAGCGGACAGCGGCTGTGGTAGAGAGGCAGAGGAGCAGAGAGATTCTCAGGCGCTGCTGTGCGTTGCTGGTAGCGTCTTGGCGAATACGCTAGAAATGCAGTAAGGTGGAAGAGCGGGAACTACAGAAACTTCGGGAAGGCAGAGGCAGAGACGAAAGACGGAGAGGCAGCGAGGCTCGCAGCTGGCAGAGGCCGGTCGATGCCCACGTGAAGCGGCTGACGTAAAGCTGACTCGGCTGGGGCAGCTCATATACCCAACCACCAGGCGCTGTGGTTTACGTGGTTCTACGTACGGAATGGGTGAGGAGGCGCGAGGCACGGAGAGAGTCGCATGCACGGGGCGCGTCGAATGGGGAGCGCGCCACGCTTTTCCTTCTAATGCTGCTCACATTCGACCCTCCCGAGCCTAAAATCCTGGCTAATGGAGGGAGGAGGCATCGGGTGGCCATGGTTGAGAGTGGTCGACGCGCCCAAAATTGGGCGGCGAACTGCCGTTTCTTGCGGCGGAATATCGCGCATCGGAGATTCTACCAGCGTGCATGCCGTGTCGTTTAGGATGCGTCGACACTGCGGCGACATGAACAGCGTTCGTTCGTCGCGTTGGCGCTGACGTGTCGTCGTCGCAGATGCAAAGGCGGCCGCGGAATGCGGAGGGTGGCTGGAGGAGCGACATCGTGGCTTCGCTGGTCGCATGCATGGCGGAACGCAGCGGCACGACTTAAACCCATGACATGGCGCTGTACGAGTCTCGCAGATGTTGGTATGCACTGGAGCATCATCGTGCATCCGTGCATGACCGCTCGCTGAAGCTTTTTTTCTATACTCATAACTTCGCAACGTCGAGCTCGTACATGGATTCCGGCAGCTCAGCGGCTTGGCGGCTCGGCGGCTGCGATTGAGTAAGGTGGGAGCGATACACACGTAGAAGGGAACAATGTGAAAGCACGAACACCGCGCATGCTGCTGCTAGTTCGGCTGGGGTGTGACAAGCATTTGTACGCGATTGAGCCGTCATCAGCAATGGATAATTTCGGTACACTGCTTGAGACGAACAAAGAAAGTGAAGGCGAATCAGCTGGTGTGAGCCGGGGCAAGTGCCCCAAGCTTCACCTCGCATCGAACTCCAAACCCGCTAGGAAAAAAGAACCGTGTTCAACTGTGCTGAAAGTACAAATGTCCAACGTGCCACCAACCTCACCAAGCTATCACCAATAAAATTCGTCGCCGAAATCTGTTTCGTCATTCAATCAACCTGGTAATTGTGCGAAAACCATTCCACTCAAATCAGGGCAACCGAGACCCACAGCGAGTCTGTTCGTGCGAGTTGGCGAAAACCAGCAGGAGGACCAGTCTCGCTAACCTGCAAGGAGTTTCCTGTGTGCTCAACAATTCCCTAGACCTAGATCACAGAAGGTTTGACTTGCACCTCCTGCCTGGCTCTCTCAGGACATCCCAGGAACGCCATCCCACATCATGTGTGTTGCTGCTCTCTACCGCCAGTTGTGTCAGGCCCAGCCGAAAACGGAACCGCGGTTTCCCTCCAATTCTTCCTCCATGCACCCGCTTGCTGAGCGAAAAAGCGGCTTTCAGCGGCACGTTTCGAGACACGAACCGCACATGTTGAAATCCATCCCAAGTAATTGACATTCTTATCCATGTCGGTGATTCCACCGTGTGGCTTTGTGGCCGTTCAAACAGGCCACGTGGGTCATCTTGATGGCACTAGGATAAAGTTTTCGTCACCCATAAGATACCCATACCGAGGATGTCCAATCACAAGCTAGTTTCAACGTATTGTCCACGAATCTGAATGTTGGGGTCCACCATAGATCCAGCAAGGCACAAATCCAACCGCAGGCTGTTCCACCTAAGTTCACATCACAACGTTAGGATCTTCCGGACCCACCACCAGAAGTCCACGCATTCTGCTGCTCTACTCTAGGACATTCTGCTCATCGCCAACTTCAAGCTTGTTCCCAAAAGCCGCCTCTGCTTTTTTTGGCTCCACATCACACGTCGCCTCCAGGCAGACTATCCTACATCACTTGGCCGAGTCGATCATAGAGCGAAATCAACTTCCTCGAGCTCGGGAGCCACCTTCTGCCACGTTTGCCATGCAGCTGAGACTGCATCTTTCAAGTAATACTTTCACAAAAAATTCTTGTGTAATGATGTTAACGCTGTTACAGCTTCAATCACTGCCACTTTCTGATTGATTTTGTTGCGCTCTTTGCGGGTTTCATTCAAGGTTCTTCTGCACACTTCAGAAAATTCCAAGAGGAGCTCTCGGACCTTCGGAGATTATATACTTCATCATGGAGGCAAGGGGAGCAGCTCCACGACTGATGAAGCTCGAAGGTTGAACGTATCAACCTTAACCACCACTCATTACAGAGCCATCCCCAGGTTTAGTAGGTTGGGTATAGGTTCAGGTTTGGTACTAGTTCCCCTGAAGGTACAAGGCTGGTTGGTACGGTACCTAGGCTCTGTGGTGCAGTGCTAGGCATCATGTTCCATCACGCTTGCTAAGTCGTTTTTCCGTACATGCTTCAATGATGTCATTTACTAACCTTGTGTGTTTCGCCCTTTGCAGGTTTCATTTAAGATCCTTCTGCACGCTTCAGAGGATCTCAAGAGGAGCTCTAGGACCTTTGGCGATTATATAATTCATCATGAAGGCCAAGGAGCAGCTCCTCGACTGATGAAGCTCGAAGGTTGAACGTATCAACCTTAACCACCACTCATCACAGAGCCATCCCCAGGTGTAGTAGGTTGGGTACAGGTTCAGGTTTGGTACTAGTTCCCTTGATATGTACCCACATCTCTGTTCAATGCACTCATTTCCTGCTGCTAGATTCTGACATGGTTTCAAAGCACTAGGTCCGTAGGACGGTTTTTTTTCGGGCCCACCTACCGTTGCGATTACCACGCTACCCCACGTGCGCCTGCCTGCCTGCCTGCCTCGCCTTGTGACGTGCTGCGCTGCGCAAGCCGTCCTGCAGCCCTCGCACCCGCGATCGCCTCAGTGTAAGAGCGCGGGGTCGGGATGTCTGGAGCATCCGGGTCTCCCTCAGGGGCAAGCAGCATGGACACGAGATGAGGCGTAGCGGCTGCAAGACACTCAAGGTCCTCCTTCCTGTCCTCAAGGACGTCCGTGCCAAGAGCACACTCACCCCCGACGGACGGAGGACAAACAGACTCAGACTCAGCAACAAGACTAGCGGCGTAGTCTAGACGACAGGCAGCAGCAAAGTCAACAAGCTCAGCAACAAAGGCAGACGCAGCAGCAGACTCAAACGACGGGTCAGTGACAACTGTGGCTAGTAGACGTGTGACAGTATGGCTAGCAGCACGAACGCGGTCAGACTCAGGCTCAGGAACGGTAGGCAGAGAAGACACAGGAGGGGACAGCAAGGGAACACGCTGCACAGGAGAGGAAGGACGACGAACTACGAGGTGGGTGCCGGGGACAACCGGCTTACGCTCACGAGGAACACGACGACCGAAACGACCAGAACGCACAGGCGAGACAGGACACGACGCAGGCTCACGACGCTCAGTAAGACCCCCTGACTGCTCAGTATAAGGAGAAGGAGCAGGCAGCGGTGAGCCAGGCTGTAACGGAAGACCACTAGACGAAGGGAGACTAAGAACCTGGCGAAGTACAGAGTCAGACGGTGGCTGAGACGACGGAGACGGCAGAGCAAAGAACAGGTGCGGCTGTGCAGTGCCACCAGGACCAGCAGCTCTAGCACCCCCAGCAGCTCCAGCACCTCCAGCAGCACCAGACCCCTCAGCGCCATCTCCTCCAGGACCAGGTCCACCAGTAGCAGCACCCTCAGAACCAGCACCTCCAGTCCCAGGGTCCCCAGCCTCAGTGTCACCAGCAGCAACACCCCTAGATCCAGGGTCTCCAGCAGTAGCACCGTCAGGCTCAGCACCTCCAGCCCCAGCACCTCCAGTACCTCCAGTACGAGCACCTCCGGGACCAGCACCACTCCCAGCTCCAGTGACAGTAGCAGAAGCACCTCCGACGGCAGAGCGCCGAGCTCCAGAGGCGTGACCCTGACGGCGTCCGTACCAGTCGTGCAGCTGCTCAGAGGTGAGAGGTACACGCGGACGAAGGCGGCTACTCCAAGGAGACCGCGCAACTGCATATTCAGAACCCTCAGCGCCAGCACCCGCAGCAGCTCCAGGACCTCTAGCGCCAGTACCCTCAGCAGTTCCAGAACCTCTAGCACTAGCACCCGCAGCAGCTCCAGAAACTCCAGCTCCAGCACCCTCAGCAGCTCCAGAACCTCCAACAGAAACAACTCCAGTAGCAGAGTCACCGGCTCCAGCGCCTCTCGCAGCAGGGCCCCTAGCTCCAGCAGCGCGACCGTGACGGCCAACGTACCACTCACGTAGCTGCTGTGGGGAGAGAGGGAGTCGACGACGAGAGTGCAGCGGCGAGGTACCAGCGGAGCGACTATGGAGACGGCTGCCCCAGGGAGACTGCTCACCAGACGCCTCAGCGCTCCCAGGTGCAGCACCCCTAGACTCAGTACCCCCAGGCTGAGCACCCCCAGACTCCTCACGCCCAGGCTCAGCACCCCAAATCTCCGCACCCCCAAGCTCCGCACCTCCAGGCTCCGCACCCCCAGGCTCCGCACCTCCAGGCTCAGCACCCCCAGGCTCCGCACCCCCAGGCTCACCACCCCCAGAAGTAGCACCCCGAGGCGGACCACCCTCAGCAGAACCGGAGTCACCAGTGACCTCAACCGGCGCAGTCAAGGGAGGAGGGTCTACCTGAGACACACCTGAAGGAGCAGGACCGGGAGTGGGGAGGGGGTCGACCTGGGGAGCACCTGGAGCAAGGAAGAGCGGCGGGGGGGGGAGAGGGGCAGTGCGGTAGGGGAAGAGACGGTAAAAGGGAACCGACTCGTCAAACATGACGTCCTGAGAGG